CTCTCTCTCTCTCTCTCTCTCTCTCTCTCTCTCTCTCTCTCTCTAGCAGACACAAAAGCAGCCTGCAGGCACTATGTTAATGATGTTTGCTGCTAATCTGCTACGAGATTCAAAATCACTTCGTAAAATCCATTGGAAAAAAAGGTTCCGGTGCGTTCTATGACAAAAAAAGCCCTGGAAGTTTGTTTCCTCTTTCTCCTTCAGAGACATCAGCCTGTCCATTTCAGCACAGTCCAGGATCTTTTTTAAAATCAGTTCATCAGTGGATGGTTCTTTACTCCTCCAATGTTGGGCAAATACATGCCTTGCTGCAGTATTTACATGTAGAATCAAAGACGTTGCTTCTTTATCAACATCATCAGGCACAATACCTAATACAGAGACTTCAGGTTAAATCTTAAATATTAAAGATTTTTGTAACATTTCCTCAAGCCATTTATGTATTTTAGCCCAATATTTTGTGCCTTCTCACAAGTCCACCACATATGATAAAAAGTACCATGGTTATGTTTGCATTTCCAACATCCATTTGACATATTTGGAAACATTTTTGCTAGTCTTTTCGGCTATAGGTACCATCTATAAACGTTTTATAAAGATTTTCTTTATATGAGGTTGCTAAGGTTACCTTGATATTTCTTTCCCACAACTTTTGCCGTTTCAATAACTCAATATTATATTCAAAATTTTGTGCCCATGTTATCATAGTTTCCTTAACTTGTTCATCTTCCATTCTCATATCCAAAAGAAAATTATACAGTCTTTTAATCATTTTTTATCTCATTTAAAATCACTTGGTCAAATGTTGTTAATTCCTTATAAAAACCCCACATTTTATAATCTCTAACATATCTCGATTGTATTTGAACCTTATGCCGCCAAGAGATATCAATACCTTCCTTTTGTAATTCTTGGTTCGGATTCAATCCTCCATCATTATCCAAAATATCATCATATCTCATAATCATATCAAAATTCAATGTGTTTTGATATACAAGAGCTTCCATAGGCGAAAGCCATCTTGGCAACTCAGTATCCAGTTTTGTCTTTATTTTTTCCCACGCCGACATTAATGACTTTCTAATATAATGATTTAAAGAACAACCATGTGTCTTACGCTTCTCATACCACATATAAGCGTGCCAGCCCATTTGTAGATCATGCCCTTCAAGATAAAGGATTCTCTTATTTCTTAAGGTTATTCATTCTTTTAGCCACATTAAGACAGAAGCTTGATAATACAACATCCAATCAGGAAGACCAAAAACCCCATTCCCTTAACCTCCCAGAGCATTTTTAATTTAATCCTTGGTTTCTTCTTTTTCCATATAAATCTCGAGATTTGGATATTTAAATCATCAAAGAATTTTTTGTCAATTTTTATGGGAATCATTTGGAATAAAAACAAAAGCTTTGGTAATATAGTCATTTTAATTAGTGCTATTCTTCCCAACAAGGATAATTGCAAATTGGCCCATATTTCCAAGTCACTCTTAATTTCCTTTAACAGTTTATCATAATTATCTTCTTTCAATGTAGTGCATTTAGCTGCAAGGAAAATTCCCAAATATTTAACCTTTTTAACAATTTGAAGATCTAACTTGTTCCACCAGAGTTTTTCTCTGCTCCAATGTGAGATTTTTCACTAACAATTTCATCTTCTCTGTTTATTTTCATCCCAGTAACATCGCCATATTCTTCAATCCTTTGTAAAAGTTTGGACATTGTTACCAAAGGTTCCTCAATAATAAAAACTAAGTCGTCTGCAAATGCTTGCAGTTTATAGCTTTCATCTCTAATTCTAGTGCCTTTAATAGCTGTATCATCTCTGATATTTCTATTTAACACTTCTAAGCTCAATATAAACAGCAGTGGTGATAAAGGGCATCCTTGTCTTGCGCCCTTTTGTATGTCTATAGTGTTTGTATATTCTCCATTAATTATAATCCTAGCAGACTGTTTTTGATACATGCTTAATATCGCATTGATAATTTTTTCACCAAACTCCATTTGAACTAGTTGTTGCTTCATAAATTGCCAGTTGACATTATTAAAGGCCTTCTGTGCATCCATGAATAATAACGCCATTGATTTTTCAGAGCGTGCCTTGTAATACTCTGAAATGTCCAAGATGATTCTCATATTATTCCTCATTTGTCTTTTAGGTAAAAAGCCATTTTGGTCTGGATGTATGAAGTCTGTTAAATACTTCTTTAGTCTTTCTGCCATTACAGAGGGAAAATTTTTATAATCCACATTTAATAGTGATATAGGTCTATAGTTCTGGATCTGTGTCAAGTCCATATCTTCTTTTGGTATTAATGTAACATTTGCCTCTGTCCAAGGATTTGGTATTTTAGCATCTAGCAATGCCGCGTTACATATACCCTTAAGAGGCTTAGACAGGATTCCTTCAAAAGTTTTATAGAACTCTGCTGGTAACCCATCCAGGCCTGGGGTATTGCCATTCGTTTGTCTCTTGATTGCCTCAGTTACTTCTGTCATTCTTACTTCTTCATTTAATGCTTTTTCGTATTTCTCCCATAGCTTTGGTAGATTTCCCTTTCGGATATACTCATTAACTTTCTCAGCTGAGGTCTCTTTATTCTGCTATAGCTTCGCAAAGAAGTCTTCCACTATTTTCTTAATTTGTGTCCTTTGCAATTGCAGTCGTCCTTCTCCATCCTTCAATTTATATATTAGTCTCTTCTCTCTTTCCTTCTTTACTTTATAAGCTAACCACCAAGGGAGGTTTTTTCTGTAAGCCGCAGCAGCCGTCCGTTGCAGCAGGTCGAGCCTCACACATTGATGGTTGCTGTTCCTCAGTGCAGGGTAGGTGCTGGAAGTGATCAGCATCTCTCCTTGACAGAAATTCTAGATTTGGCAGACAGCTTCTTTGGCACCCCAGAAGCTCTGAGCCCCCAGCACAGGGCTACACCCAAGTCCAGATCCAGGCATCCCCTGGTAAGGGTGCAAAAATTCCTGAGCGAAAATGCCGAGGTCTAGAAGAAGGCCTGGTTGTGAGCGACTTGTCCACCCTGCAAGGGCCTGGATCCCCCCTTCCCTGTGACAGTCCTTGAGATTTGGTGCAGAGCTGTCTGTGCATGTGCATTTTGGTCCACCATCCTAATTTGTGCTTGACAGATGGAACCTGCTATCTCTGAAGTCCTTTGATCTGAACTTTTTCTATGCATGTAGCACCCTTGAAACTTAGTTTTTCTTTCTCACTGCCAAGCTACCTAGGGAGAATAGAGCTCACTTCAGTGTAGGTGTATGATGACTTCAGTGTAAATTCAATCCCTGAGGAAGCTGCTTTCTGGAGGGGCATTCCAAGAGGAGAAGGGATTATGTTGGAGGTGTTGAAATGAAAATGCCACGTTTGCCTTGTACTCACATTTCAGTCATTATCTCCATATGGAATTTTCCTTTTGTCTTTCTTCCGGAGCAGGTGAATGGCAAGACAATGGAAGTGAAGCAGTTCCAGGTGTCCTCCAATGAGAACCAAGTGAGCACAAAGTGAGAGAAGAGAGACTTGCAAGTCCAATCAGGATCAAAAAAGAAAAGTGAAACCAAGTGAGGAATGTGAAGAAACAAACCTGCATTTCTCACAGTCCTGGAAATCTTAGCTCTTAATTCCAGAAGGTTGCAAAAGAAGGAGAAGGGAAAAGGGGTGAGGGTGTGACTATTTACTGAAAGGTGGATGAAACAAGTACCCAAAGTGAAGAAAACCCAGAGGTGAAATGAAATGTGCAGAATCTTATAGAAGCATCCTTGTAGCCACGATTTCAATCCAAAGAGAGCGTCGTAGACAGCAAGAGCCCTAGTGAGCCTGAGGGATCCCACACTTCCATATAGAATTCCATATACTATGATGGACAGTAGGCAGAGCTGCAGTGCCGACGGAAGTCCTCCTAACGATGGGCAAATACATCCTGGAGAGCAGCCATCTCGATGCAAGCCATGTTGTCAGCATTTCATTGAACCTGGAAGTCTTCCTCAACATAAGCAAAGGGAAACAGGGGACACACAAAATAAACGCATGGAATGTGGAAAGAGCTTCACTGCCAGTAGACGTCTTCCTGCACATCAAGCAACACACACTGGGGTGGAGCCATACACATGCATGCAATGTGACAAGAGTTTCAGTCAGATGCAACATCTGACAATGCATTATAGAACCCACACTGGGGAGAGGCCTTACATATGCATGGAATGTGGAAAGAGCTTCAATGAAAGTGGAAATCTTACAAAGCATCAAAGAACCCACTCTGGGCAGAGGCCCTATAAGTGTATACAGTGTGGAAAGACATTCAAACATAGTCAACATCTTACACTTCATCACAGAACCCACACTGGGGAGAGGCCTTATACATGCATGGGATGTGGAAAGAGCTTCACTGCCAGTAGTTCTCTTACTGCACATGAAAGAACACACACTGGGGAGAAGCCATACAAATGCGTGGAATGTGGAAAGAGCTTCAGTATCAGGGGAAATCTTGTACAGCATCAAAGAACCCACACTGGGGAGAAGCCATACACATGCATGGAATGTGGAAAGAGCTTTACTGAAAGTAGAAGTCTTACAAAGCATCACAGAACTCACACTGGGGAGAGGCCCTATACATGTGCACTGTGTGGAAAGAGATTCAGCCAGAGTCAAAATCTTACAATTCATCATAGAACCCACACTGGGGAGAGGCCTTTTGCATGCATGGGATGTGGAAAGAGCTTCACTTCCCGTAGTTCTCTTACTTCACATGAAAGAACACACACTGGGGAGAAGCCATACACATGCGTGGAATGTGGAAAGAGCTTCAGTATCAGGGGAAATCTTGTACAGCATCAAAGAACCCACACTGGGGAGAAGCCATACACATGCATGGAATGTGGAAAGAGCTTTACTGAAAGTAAAAGTCTTACAAAGCATCACAGAACCCACACTGGGGAGAGGCCTTATACATTCATGGGATGTGGAAAGAACTTCACTTCCCATAGTTCTCTTACTGCACATCAAAGAAGCCACACTGGGGAGCAACCATAGAGATGCATCAAATGTGGAATGAGCAGAAGAGAACCTCTGCTATTATCTCTGCTCCTTTGACTGGGTTGAGGAGGCTGCTGAGGAAACTGAAGGTCTCCTGAGCAAAAGAGCAACCAGGGAGAAAGCATACAAAAACACAACTAGTTGTCTTTGGGAGGAAGAAAGAAACCCACGTCTGGAAAACAGATGGCCTTCCCACCGATCAGCAGCACACCTTCAGAGACGCAGTGCTTGGGTTTTGTCCCCACCTCTCATGGACCCCCAAGTTGAGGGCTGCTGAACTGCAATCTGGGTTGAATCATCTGGAATGCTGTGTCCAGTTCTGGGCACCAAGATTTAAGAAAGACGCAGAAAAATTAGAAAGGGTCCAGAGGAGGGTAACAGAAATGATTGAGGGTTTGGAAACACTGTCCTATGATGAACGACCAAGAGAACAGGGCATGTTCAGCCTTGAGAAGAGAAGACTGAGGAGGGACATGGTATCACTCTGTAAGTACCTCAAAGGCTGTCACAAAGAAGAAGGTCAAGGTCTTGTTTATTCCGGAGTGTGGGACACAGAATAATCAGTTCAAACTGTGACAGCCCAGACTCAGGAAAAGCTTCCTCACTGTCAGAGCAATACGGACAGTGGAACCAGCTTCCTCAAGATTTGGTGGGCTCTCCCACACTAGAGACATCCAAAAAGAAACTGGGCAGCCATCTGAGTGGGATGGTGCAGATTGGTGTCCTGCAGCAGCAGGGGGTGGACCTGATGGCCTTCGTGGCTCCTTCCAGCTCTACTATCCTATGATTCTGTGGATGCCCAATTCACATGGACCCTCCCTTTGAAAGCTGCTGAACTGCCATCCTTCCACTCTCTACAATGCAGTGTCTTAAAAGTGAGGTGGGGGTCTGGTGAATCCAAGCGATTGGATTATTTTGGAGGAACAGACTTCCACAATTTCTGTATGGTGCATTAAGTTGGGGGTGCATGGACCTCTCTATCCAAGAAATATTTCAGGACTCCTACTTAAGCACTTTGCTAGCTGTCCCCCAAGGAATGTGCAAGGCATGGAACCGTGACTGGTCACCCAGTGAGCACCACAGTAGAGGGGCGCTGTGAGACTGGGTCTCTTTGGCCTGTTCCACACCACACACAGCCTCTCAGGCTCACTCATGGGATGTCCTGAGCAACGCTTCCCTTCCCTGGCAGTGGAGTCTGAAATCTAAAAGGGGGGAAAGGAAGGGAGCCAGCAGGCGACCCTGGCAAATGCCTCTCTCAGTTGGGATGTTTTCCGAGCTGAAGGCATTTCCCCAAGTCCCATGCCCCAAGGGACGTGTTGGAGTGGAGAATTTGTATTAAAAGAGCATTTTCCTCTTGGGGTCCGTCATGGCCAACTTTTCCCATAAATGCCCGTCTGTGAGAGCAAAAGCAGAAATGAACTCTGTGAAAGATGCAACTCACCATATCCTAGCCTTTGGACTGAATCTTTGAATTAGATGATGACAAATTTAATTTGCCCTTAACAAATATGGGCTTCTCGGTGTTAATGTAATTGTTGGGAAGTCTCCTGGTTTCCTCCAGCAGCGAGGCCCCGTTGCCAAAAGTCTTGGCTTGCATCTTGTGGGTGTGATGCAGAGGTGGGGACATGGATCCCAGCAGCCCCAGCTGGAGGCGGGAGATTCAACCCCAGCTGGAGGAGCAGGTTCAGGGCCCTGTGGGTTGGAGGGCTCATTCCATCGGGTATCATGACCTCTGCGATCCTACAGGGCTGCTGTGAAGATTTCACTGATTTTTAGGGGAGTCATCAAACAGCTTAAAAAGCATAGAGGAAGTTATTTTTGTACATTGCTGAGTCCTTTTTTCTCTGTTTCTTACTATTCTTGAAACTGTTGATATCTTTACTCTTTTTACTCCTTTCATGAATGATTAAACTGCTAACCGCAAATACTCATTTGGTATGCATTAACTGAAATATTCCTTTCAAATCATGATAAGTGATAGGTCCCCTATTCTCTTCACTAGTCAGACTTCATCCAGAATGCTGTGTCCAGTCCTGGGCACCAAATTTGAGAAAAATGCAGAAAAACTAGGAAGCATTCAGAGGAAGGTCACCAAGGTGATTTAGGGACTGGAATAAAAATCCTCTGAGGAAAAACAGAGAACTGGGAATACTCAGCCTCCAGAAGAAAAGACTGAGGGGGAGATCTGATAGCTCTGTACATGTACCTCAAGGGAAGTCACAAAGAGGAAGGTCAAGATCTCTTCTTGCTGGTACCAGAATGTAGCACATGGAATACTCAACTCTGGTTGCCGCAAGCCAGGGTAAGGCTACATATCAGGAAGAGTTTCCTTGCTGTCAGAGCAATCTGACAGTGGAACCAGCTGCCTAGAGAGGTGGTGGGCTCTCTCACACCAGAGGCATTCCAAAAGAAACTGGAAGCTGTCCTGCAGGTGGGATTCGATGGCCTTCGTGGCCCCTTCCAATTCTACTATTCTCTGATCTCTCGTGTATTTGATTGAGCACATGGTGTCCTTCAGGCCGCCTCCTTCCCTTTCCTATGTCAGCATGACACCCAACATCAAGAGCAGAATGTCATGCAATGGGTTCTTTTTGAGGGAAGCCTCATCTATGGGTTCTTGGTACGTATGTGTAGAGCAGAGGGCCGTTCCTTTGTCCTGGGAATCTCTCTGCTTTTCTTCTTTGTTGAGGTTCCCTTTGTTCCAGAATCAAGTTTGCTCCTCTTGTTTCCAAAGAAGAAACTTGTCCTGTCATGTCTTCTTGGGACAGGCACAGCAGAAAAGAGCCGCCGGCCCACAGCCCAGCCCTCTCGCCACCACAGCATCCTATGCGTGGTCACCCTCTGGAGCTTCCTCTGCCTGATTCTGCAGGTCAAGAGGGGGAAAGTTACACTTTCAGGTAGACGCATGCCCAGATTAAAAGATGATCCTCTGGATCCAATGGGTGGCCACACGCACACCCAGATGAGCAAACATGGGACAGGCTCTGGAAATACTGGAGGAGGGAAATTACCTGCACAAGGCAGGCATTGGAAGGGGATGTTTGCCCCCCTTGTGGAGGCTGGCAGGATTTTGAAAGGACCAGTCCCACTCTCTTCGGTTCCACCCGCTATGCAATATTATAAAAGAAGTATAACTTGCTGCCTACAAGAACACAATATGGGCAGCAATGGGTTCATATTCTGCCTTCAGAACATGTTGGTCACATTATTTACGGATTCCCCAAGATCAATCCATTCCTGTGCCCCAAAGAAAAGGGACCAAGAAGACTTAACAGCAAGAGTTTTCTCCCGGCCACATTCCTTCCTCCAGAAGGTCCCCTGCCAGCCAAAACAGGCAACGCAGAGGAAGAACATGGCAGGTGCTGCAGCACAGGGTCCTTCAAGGTGAACTGCAGACCGCCCAGCCTGAAGGAGTCCTTGACCCTGTTCCACACGAGGGAGCAGCACCTGGGAGTTCCCACACACGCTTCTCTCCAGCTGTGCACCTGCCCGTGGAGTTGAGAAGCGAGTTTGGAAAGTTTTGGAGGTGTTTCCTGGAGCTCAGGCTGGATGACAGTGGGGGTAGTATTCAGCCTCATGGAGACAGCAGTCGTACCAAGTAGAGATTCTCTTGAGTTGAACCTCCAGGGGATTTGGGTGAGCTCCCCAAAATGGGAGAAACAAATTTAAGGGTAACAGTTTGTCCTGGGCCACTTTCCCTTCCTAAAGAGCTGCCATGCTGGGGAAAAGTTAGTGAACATGTGAGGCAGAAAGTCACCCCTTCCAGGCTTATTGCAGTGCACAGATCCCTCCATCCTGGTTGCCTCGAAGGAGCAACATCAGGAATTCCCAGGAGCTTGTGTCCAGCTGCGTCCCTGCTCATGGCACTGAGCAAAACATTCAGGAAGATGCAGAGAAGAGAGACCTCCCCTGAATCCACTGGTGGAAACATCTGATTCAAGAGCAAGGTGAGTTGTTGACACACATCCAGAGGCCAAAGGGAAGGCGCATCCATGCCTCCTCTGCCATTGAGCACTTGGGGAAGGTTTCAGTGCATGGGGCAACCTCTCATCCCCTCTGGATGCAAAGCCATGGCTGCCCAGGCTCTGTCTCGACTTGGAAAGCTGCAGGGTCTGGCTCTTGCAAGGGAGATCTTGGTTCTTCTAATCCTTTCTCAAATTAGCTGCAGGAGGAGGCTGGAGGCTTTGACTGGCAGACCAAGAGCCACACCACTCTTCCTGCTGCTCCTGCTGCTGCTTCATCCAGAGGCCTCCTGGGGGACACCCAAGCCCAGGTGCCCCTGGAGCTGGGAAAGGGATTAAGTTGACCCTTGGAATTACTACAGGCCAGGCGACTATGTCATCAGTGCGGGCATCTCTGCAGAGCCCGTTCAATTTCTGATGCACATGTCCCTGCCTCCAGGTGTCCCAAGAGGGGCTGTTTCCTTCCCTGGGAGTGGCAAGCAGACAATCAGAGAGTCTGGGAGCATCTCGCCTCGAATCCCAGCTCTTCCACTAGACCAGGAGAGAGCAAGCAGCCAAAAAAGCCATTGGAGCACTGGATGGTAGTAGAATTAAAGGAGCACGGAGTGGGGACAGCCAGTTTGCAGAGGAGTTGAATGGTGTGTCATGTTTCCATCAGTTGTCGCAGCCGAGACTGAGACTTAAGCTGTCTGGGAGCAGCCAAAGAAGAAATGCTCAATCTTACTGGGACAAAACAAGCCACTAAATCAGCAGCCCCAGGCGGGCCCTTCCCAGATTTCCCAGGGAGCTCAGATCGGAAACTGCTGAGCTTCCCCCTGCACCATTGCACACCTCCCAGCTTGGATGGTTTTCAGAGGGCTGGAAAGGTTTGGGGGCCCCGGCTGCCCAGCCTGCTCTCCCCACTGCTGGGGGCCTCCTCCAGCCCCTGTGTACCCCCACTTGCTCTGGGACCCGTCTACATTCCTCGTTCTTCCGCACAGGGCTCTGCAGAGGGAGTGTTGTGCTTGGGGGTGACTGAGGGGGTTGGGCAGAGCCTGGGAGGGAGAAATTGATCTTCCCCCTGATATCCCAGGCCGTGCTGTGGGAGGGATTTAGGGAAGGAGGTTGAGTCCTCGGAGGACTGAGCTGCGACTTTGGGTAGCCACACCCTAATGCTGTCAAGCATTAGAAGGGTGTCAGAGGCAGAAGCTGAAAGAAAGCTGAGTGCAAAAGGAAAAGGCTGTGCTGAGACACAGGAAGGCAAGGCTGCTGGAAGCGCATTCAGAAGAGGAAGGAGGATCTGAGAGTGAGGAGTGTTTGTGAAGGGAAAGTGCGATGCTCAGTGGGAAGCTGTTATTATGCATTGTTTAATTCACAAAGTAAATAAGTCTATGAACGTCCTGAAACCAATCCACTTGTTGCACAACTGAATATCTATTTTGTTGATGGCTGACCCCGAGTCACAGGTGCTTGAATAGAGTCTCATCCTCAGGACCACGTAGTCCAGCCAAGGAGCCTTGCAGTCTGGGCACAACATTGAGTGAGAGGTTAACCGGCAGGACTGGAAGGGAATTCCGGGTGGCAGCGTTACGTACGCAGAGAACAAGGAGGAGACATCGAGAAAGGGAGAGACAGAGCATGTCCAAAGAAAGGCGGGAGAGAACCCGCAACACAAGGCCCCCCATCATGCAAGTGTGCAGTTGCGTCCCTATTCCTAGATGGAGAACTCGGCATTTGTCTCCAGTCGGCCAAGTGCTGCAGCCCGTCGGGATCACTCCGAATTCTTTGTTTACACCAGGGCATTAGCATTCCCCCATTTCTGGCATCTGGATGTTTGACCACCGGCATTCCCTGCACCTCCTTGTCCAAGTCCCTGGTGCGAATCTTGCAGAGCTGTTGGCCCAGCCTTCCCAGACTGAGAAGGTGCCACTGAGAAGCACCCTCCTAGTCGGATCCTGTGGCCAGCAAGGACCCACCTGGCTGCTGTTCTGTCATGGCAGCCTTTGGCTCTAGCCTGCTCTGAAGGTCAGGGGTACTCTGCCAGACAATGTTGAAGCCCCTCCCACAGGCGGTACAGTCCTGCCTTTCTGCCTGAGTAATGCTCAGTGTAATCCCCAAGAGTGCTGAAGGTATTAAGTGTTGTGGGCTGGGCGTCCCCTGCAAGCAAGACAGTCATTCCAGCAGTTTTTGTAAGAGTCTTTATTCCACACAGAAAAATCCAACCTTTCACCAGCCTCTGGGCATGCCAAAGATGTGCTGACGCCTCTCTGCCCCCCTTCACCCAAAGCTTTGCTTATGAACCCTTGGGGGCTGGTCTCTGGAAGGCAGAGCACTGTGGAAATGGGTGCACCTGCCTTCTGCACTCTGGGCCCCTCACTGGTCCTTGGGTCCATGTCCTGAGGAGGCTTGTGTTTCCCATCTGAGAAATCTCCCCACTCCCAGCCCTCTTCTGCCTCATTCCCACAGCAAGGAGGGAGACTGAGTCCTGTTGGGTGTCCTTCAGCTACTCTCATCCAGAGAAGACTCGGACTGGTACTGCCAGAGCATCTGCCGGTGTAGGCCTGCCTACCTGTTTGTTTGTTTGTTTGTTTATTTACAGCATTTATATCCCATCCTTCCATGGAAGTGCTCAGGACAGCTTACATAATATAACATTATGAAATACAATATAAAAACTACAATTATTAAAATATCTAAAATTGAACATTATAAACTCAACAATAGGAAAAAAATTGAAAGTGCGACTGAAAACAAAAACAAAAAAAAAACCTTAACATGTCTAAAACTATTAACTGTTAAAATGATGGTTGAATAAAAAGGAGGTTACCTGGCACCAGAAAGAGTATAATGTCGGCGCCAGGCAGGCCTCTCTGGGGAGTGCATTCCATAGTCTGGGTGCCACTGTGGAGAAGGCCCTTCTCTGGGTAGACACCCTCTGTACTTCCTTCAAGGAGCGTTCCCAGAGCAAGGCCTTCCCTGCTGATCTTAAGGGGCATGAAGGTGTGTATATACGGAAGCAGGCGATCCTTCAGGTATTCTGGACCTAAGACATTTAGAGCTTTATAAGTTCATACCAGAGCACTTTGAATTGGGCCTGGACTTCACTTGAGAGCCAGGGACGGGGACAGCTCTGGGTCAAGGAACACTACCAAGCTGCGGACCCTGTCCTTTAGAGAGACTGCTACCCCATCCAGGACAGGAGCAATTATTGGAGGGTGAGCTCTGAACCTGTTTTAATTCAGCCATCCCTACTTCATCCTCAGAGTTGGAGCTATCAGTCCATCCGAGACAGAATGTTCCTCAGGTGCACCTGGGAATCTCCTCCGAGTGTGCATGCACGACATTGAAACCCCCACGGAATATGGTGTTTTTGTGCTTACAAAGGCTTCCCTCATCCCTGCAACATTTTTCCTGTTCTGTGCCTTTCAACATGCTCTCTCAGGGGTGGATTGGTCAACATTAAGAACACCCTCCTGTATCCCTGAAGCGCTTTCCCCATTTTGTGCATTTCTGTGCCTTCACTCCAGTTTTGGCAGCATCCTGTTTAGCAAGACTTCCACTTTAGTGGGATGCTTTCCCCCCAGGGGGAGTTCTTCCATGTACAATGAGATGCGGATTCCGCCCTGAAGGCATTTCCACATGCCATGCTATTAATTTTGTCTGGTCTATAATTGCTGTTGTGCCTTTTATGCTGTTGCCCCTGGAGGGAAACAAAACTGATCCGGGATTTGGAAACACTGCCAAACATTGGGAGAACTGTTACATCTGAACTATGGGCAATGAAGCAGGTTGGAAGACTAGAGCGTAGGTGGAGGAAATCACGGGATGAATTTTACCAAACATGCCTACATGCTCATTATCAAGCCTATGCTGTGGCAGTGAGGGTGGCGAAGAAGAAATTCTTCTCCGCTTCCATTGCCTCCTCACAGTGCCATCCAGCTGAACTTTTTCAAGTGGTACATGGGCTGATACATCCTGGCCCTAAAAAAGATCCTGTACCACCATCGATGGCCCGCTGCGACGACTTTGCCCAGCACTTCAAGGAGAAAATCGCTCAGATTCGTCACGAGTTGGACTCCACAATTGATTCGGTTCCCTTAGGGGAGACACCAATGACCTCGTCTGGTCAGGTATTATTGGATGAATTTCAGTTAATGCAGCCCGATGATGTGGGCAAGGTTCTTGTACAAGTACGTCCTACCACCTGCTCACTGAACCCTTGCCCTTCGTGGCTATAGACAAAAGCCAGACATGGGATTGGTTCCTGGATCCTAGAGGTTATTAACGCCTCTCTGAGGGACGGCTGGGTGCCTGCTCCTTTGAAGGAGGTGGTAATCAGGCCTGTCCTAAAGAAGGTGTCTCTGGATCCAGAGATGGCCACCAATTATAGACCAGACTTTCATGGCAGGTACTCTTGGATGGACAACTCCAGGTACTCTTGGATAAAACTGATTATCTAGACCCATTTCAGTCTGGCTTCAGTCCCGGGTAAGGTACTGAATCTGCCTTGGTCACCCTGTACAATCTGTGCAGGGAGAGAGATGGGGAATGCGTCCCTGTTGGTTCTCCTGGACCTCTCAGCAGCTTTCAATACCATCGACCATGGTATCCTCCTGGATAGGCTGGTGGGATTGGGAGTAGGAGGCACTGCTTGGCAGTGGTTCCGGTCCTACCTTGCCAGCCGATTCCAGAAGGTGGTGTTGGGGGACTTTGGCTCTGCACCATGGCAGCTATGCCATGGAGTACCGCAGGGGTCCATTCTGTCTCCCCTGCTATTCAACATCTACAAGAACCCGCTGGGAGAGGTCATCAGGAGGTTTGAGCTGCAGAGTCATCAGTATGCACCCAGCTCTACCTCTCTTTTTCAACTAATCTAGGTGAGGCAGTGACTGTCCTGAATCGGTGCCTGGCCGAGGTAATGGGCTGGATGAGGGCCAATAAGCTGAAGCTCAGTCCAGACAAGGTGAAGGTTCTATTGGTGGGTGATTCAAGCTCATGGGTAGGTGACTTGGGCCCTGCCCTGGACAGAGTTGAACTCCCTCTAAAGAACAGTGTCCGCAGCTTGGGAGTGCTCCTCGACCCGGAGCTGTCCTTGGAAGCCCATGTGACAGAGGTGGTGAGGAGTGCTTTCCTCCAGCTTCGGCTAATCTATCAGCTGCGTCCCTACCTGGAGGATTGCCTAGCAACGCTAACACACGCATTGGTTACTTCCCAGTTGGATTTCTGTAATGCACTTTACATGGGGCTGCCCTTGAAGACAGTCCGGATACTTCAGATGGTACAAAATAGAGCTGCCAGGATGCTGTTGGGAACTGGGCATTATTCTCGTATAACCCCAGTCCTCTATCAGCTCCATTGGCTTCCCATTGAAGTCTGGGCTCAATTCAAGGTAGTGGTTATTACCTATAACCTCCTCCAGGAATCCTCTGTGAAAGATATTAGGAGGCAGAGTACCCAGAAGAGGGCCTTCTCTGCAGTGGTGTCCCATCTATGGAATGTGCTCCCCAGAGAGGTTCACCTGGCGCCGTCATTATATGTTTTTCGGTGCCAGGTTAAGACCTTTTTATTTCACCAATATTTTAATAAGTTTTAATATTGTATTTTTTCATATTATATTTTTAACTGCAGCCAGAGTGGGTTGATTTTTATGTTGATATTTTGTCATAATTTATTTATTTTGATATTTGTATTTTATTTATGTAAGCTGTCCTGAGGCTTTTGCAATAGGATGGCATATAAATATCACAAATAAATAAATAGCCCTAAACAACTTGGGACCAGGATACCTAAAGGAACGCCTTTCTCCCCATTTGCCCTCCTGCCCCGAGATCAGCAGCAGAAGCCCTCCTCCAGGAACCCTCTGAGAAAGACGCTGGGAGACAGAGTACCCGGAGGAGGGCCTTCTCTGCGGTGGCCCCCCATCTATGCAATGCGCTCCCCAGAGAGGTCCGCCTGGCACCATCATTATGTTTTTCGGTGCCAGGTCAAGACCTTTTTATTTAATCAATATGTTAATATTGTTGTGAGCCGCCCCGAGGCTTCGGCAAGGGGCGGCATAGAAATGTTTAAATAAATAAATAAAACATAAAAATATGCTTTAATGGGAACTGGTTTTTATTGTTTGTATGTTATTAATTTGTTGCCAGAGTGCGATTGTCACTTTATCTATTTTAGCTTGACCTAGGTTGTAAGCCTTCCAGAGACACAAGTAATGGATGGCATACAAATTTTATAAATAAATAAATAAATAAACTGGGAATGTGCAAACCTGAGGAGATAAGACTGGGGGGCGGGGACCTGAAATCCCCTTCTCAGTGCCTCAAAGGCTGTCACAAAGAGGAAGGTCAAGATCTCTTCCTGCTGATAACAGACTTTGAGACACAGAATAATCAGCTCAAGTTGTGACAACCCAGATTCAGGCTAGACATTGGGAAAAGCATCCACACTGTCAGGGAAATCCAACAGTGGAACCTGTTGCCTAGAGAGATCATGAGCTCACCCACAGTAGAGACATTCAAAAGAAGACGGACAGCTATCTAAGCAGAATAGTATAAATTGGTGTCCTGCAGAAGCAGGAGGTTGGGCCCGATGGCCTTCATGGCCCCTTCCAATTCTGCTGTTGATGATTCCATGAAATTATAGGTCAGTGAAGTTTCAAAATAATGTGGGTTTGGTTTGTTGAATTGTTAAATCTGACTGCTATTTTAATAGAACTTATACTGTACATTTTAAAACTATGCAATCCTTGCATTTGTGCGGCTTCTGTTCAATTTAGATTATCTGATGTGGAGTAAAACTTTCCAATGGTTTTTCCCAATGTGGGTTCTTGGATGGTTTGCAATTTGACTTTCGCTGAAGTTTTTTACATGTTCCATGCTTTTATATAGCCTCTCCTCAATGTGCATTCTTTGAGGCACACTAAGGTTTCCATAAACACTCAAGTTCTTTCCACATTAAAGTGCACAGGTAAGCTACATCCACTGCATCGCCTCTGCCGAGCCACCTCAAGACCTATCCTGGAATTCCATACGGTTCTCTGACAGGATCTGTTTTCATGGAATCCATGCTGCGTGGCTGGCAACCTCCCATCCCCATCTGGATTTGTACAGCTTTCCTCATTATGTGCCTTGCATTGTCTTTCCGAGAATGGACATGAGGCTGACAGGCCTGTAACTCCCCATATCCCCTCTGCTACCATTTTTGAAGACTGGAACCGCTGATGCCCCCCTCCAATCCTCCGGAACTTCTGCTTTGCACGAGGCACCTAAACTGTAGGGCAATGGATGCGAGAGCACCTCTGCCAATTCCTGAATACTCTCGAGTGTAGCCCATCAGGGTCCAGTGCCTTTGTGTCATCCAGGGCCCTGAGGAGCTCCTTGGCTTCTAGAGGGTGACCCCAATCTGTGTCCCCATAACCCAACTTCATCTACCACCACCACCGCCCCGGTCAATCTCCCCCAATCCACTTTGGAAGAAACACAAAAGCAAAATAATACTTTACCATCTATGCCTGCTCCCTTACACTAGTTACCAGATCCCCTCACTCTTAAGGGGTCCCACCACCTGTCTCCCCTTCCTCTTCCTATTTACATGAAGGTAGAAGCCCTTTGTGTTGCTCTTGACATTCTTCGCAAGTCTCAGCTCATAATCCACCGTAGTCTTGCAACGAATCCTTCTCCATCATGCCACCTCCTCCTAGTATCCCCTTTTGCCCCCTTGCACCACTGTCCCTTTTCTGTGAAGGTCTGTCTTATGACTAAGCCCGCTCACCAACTCTCTTCACATGCACAGCAGTGGCCTCCCTTGCTAACCAGCGGCATCACCAAGACTGGCACCTTCAAGACCTCCCTTTTTGGGGCCACACTCTCCCCATAAATTCCCATGCCTTCGATAATGATGAAGATTCTGTTCTGAAGCTCTTTGCATGTTCCATGCACTTATACGGCCTCTATCCTGTGTGGATTCTTTGATGGGTTGTAAGACTCCCACTTAAATGGCAGCTTCTTCCAGATTGCATGCATTTAAAAGGCTTTCTGTCAGTATGTGTCCTTTGATGGTTCATGAAATGATCACTCCGGTAGACACTGATTCCATCCTGTACACATTTATATAGCCTCTACCCAGTATGAGCTCTTTGATGTTTCATAAGAGAATGACTACAGCTGAAGCTCTTTCCACATTCAACGCATTTAAATGACCTTTCCCCAGTGTGGGTTCTTTGATGTGTCATAAGATTTCCCTTTCCAGTGAAACTCTTTCCACATTCCATGCAAGTATAGGGCCTCTCCCCAGTGTGAGTTCTTTGATGGTTTGTAAGATTACCACTCCGGCTGAAACTCATTCCACATTCCATGCATGTAAAAGGCTTTTCACCAGTGTGGGTTCTTTGATGGCGTGTAAGATGAGCACTCCTGGTGAAGCTCTTTTCACACTGTATGCATTTAAAAGGCCTTTCACCAGTGTGGGTTCTTTGATGGCGTGCAAGATGACTACTCTGGCTGAAGCTCTTTCCACATTCCATGCATTTGAATGGTTCCTCCCCAGTGTGCGTTCTTTGATGGCATGTAAGTTGACCACTCTGGCTGAAGCTCTTTCCACATTCAATGCATTTAAATGGCTTCTCCCCGGTGTGGGTTCTTTTATGATTCATAAGATTATACCTCTGGCTGAAGCTCTTTCCACATTCCATGCAGGTATAAGGCCTCTCCCCAGTGTGAGTCCTTCGATGCTTTGTAAGATTTCTATTTTGATTGAAGCTCTTTCCACACTCCATGCATTTAAAAGGTTTTTCACTAGTGTGTGATCTTTGATGCCTTGTAAGATGACATCGCCGGCTGAAGCTCATTCCACATTCCATGCATGAATAGGGCCTCTCCCCAGTGTGCATTCTTTGATGTCTTCTAAGACTTCCACTTTCACTGAAGTTCTTTCCACATTCCACACATCTATATGGCATCTCTCCAGTGTGCATTCTTTGATGTCTTCTAAGACTTCCAATTTCAGAGAAGTTCTTTCCACATTCCATACATCTATATGGCTTCTCCCCAGTGTGGGTTGTTTGATGTTTTATAATACCTCCACAGTCAGTGAAACTCTTTCCACATTCCATGCATCTGTATAGTGTCTTGCCAATGTGGGTTCTTTGATGATTCATAAGACGTTTACTCTGGCTGAAACTTTTCCCACACTGCACACATTTGTATGGCTTATCCCCAGTGTGGGTTCTTTGATGTAGAGAAAGTTTTCCACTTTGACTGAAGGTCTTTCCACATTCCATGCATGTATACGGCCTCTCTCCAGTGTGAATTCTTGGATGTTTAATAAGATTTCCACCAGAATTGCAGCTCTGTCTACTTTCCATAATTCTATATGGGTTCCTTTAAGTGTGGGATCCCCGATGCTTACTAAGGCTTGCGCTGTTTCTGACGATCATTTTACACTACACACATTTGAAATCATGCCTACATGGAGGTTTGTATAATATTCCACACTTTGTCTTTGGTCTCTGGATTTTCTACAGTTTATGTGTTTTTTCCATCTGTCTTTTGGGAAATTGCCACACCCGAGATCCCTTCCCCTCTTCCTTACTTTGCAGCCTTCTGAAATTAAGGGTTGTGATTTCCAGCACCCTGAGAAAAGCAGGATTGGTTCCTCACATTCCTCACTTGGTTTCCCTGATGCTTTTTTGTCCTGATTGGATTTGCAAGTCTCTCTTCTCTCACTTTGTGCTCACTTGGTTCTCACTGGAGGACACCTGGAACTGCTCCACTTCCACTCTCTTGGCATTCACCTGCTTGGGAAGAAAGACAAAATGCAATTCCTGTTAGGAGATAATGGCTGAAAGGGATGCACTCATTTGAGTACAAGGCAAATGTAGCATCTTCACTTCAGCACCTCCCGACATGAACCCTTTTCCTCTCTGAATGCCCCTCCAAAAAGCAGCTTCCTTCACGATTGCATTTACACTGACGACCCGCTCACAGGGTTGTCCTGAAGAACACTCTGGGGTGTGGTGGGGAGGAGAGAGCCTGGCTGGCCCAAAAAGAGAAGGAAATGCTCACCCACCAGCTGCCAGCGCTGCAAAGGAAGTGCCATCTATACAAGGCCTTTGGCCCCCTCCAGCTCCAGCTCAGAGGGTCCAGGTAACCTTCCTGCGATTCCTGGGGATGAGTTGCCTTTGCAGGGAGCAGCAGCAGCAGGTCCAGGCTGATATTTAGTCGGGCTTCATTTGAACCTCCAGCTTGGAGGCAGAGACACAGCCTGGCCAGAAGCTCTCCAGGTCTCCCTCAACTTGACTCCACTTTGCACAGTGGAAGTGAATGTAAGCTATCCCACCATTCCTATGGCTCCTCGCCGGAGGGACTTCTTCCATGGCACTGGATTACTATGATACTCAACAGGTATAGGAGAATTGTCCACTTTCACCCCACAATGGACCCTTCCCCCTGCTTGGTGTTTGCTTTTCCCTCTTTCTTCACCTGGTCTGTGTCACGCTTCCTCCATTCCCTGCTGGCTTGGAAAGTCTCTCTCTGCACCTCACACTCCGTCGTTCTGCTGAAAAGGCTGATGGATGCCCACTGATCTCCCTCTCCTGCAAACCACCGGAATGGGGACAAAGGCAAGGCGGAAATGGTGCTAGGAGGGGGCAGCTGATCCCATTGGAAAATCCCCAGCATCCAGCTGCCTCTCCTTTGGGCCCTGGAGGGCCATCCCTTTCCTGCTGCTTCAGGAACCTGGGATTTAGACATTGATTTGTGGACATTTGTATGAGTTTTCTGCTCATACAGAACAGTATGAAACAGGAACGTTAAGACGCGCAAGAGCACCCCACCACTCTCCGTCTGGTTGGTGGTGCTCATGGGGAGCTGGACTTGCGTAAACTGGAGCTGAATCTGCAGAGACAGCCCTCCATGGGGTTCCCAGGCATGTTCCAGGGCCAGCCCCTCAGCTTTCAGGCTTCCTGCGAGACCCAGCTTGGAACTGAATGGAGAGAGCAATCCCTGGGATGAGCCAAATGGTGCCAGGGCCACGTGGAAAGAGACACAGAAACAGAGTGAGTCTGACTCCATCTCCAGCCTGCTCCACTCATGGCATGCCTACCATGTGTGCAATTCCCAGGGGTCCACTCTTCACCCAGCAGCCCTTGCAGAGGCACTGTGGGAAGATCCTGGAAGAGCACACAAGCCACAAGGAACGTTAAAACATGCTTGTCCTGCCAGCATGTGGCACTCCCACCATTGCCCCTCCCTAGCAATATCTGTGGCAGGTTCAGTGGAGGGGGAAGGACAAGCCATGGGGAGGAAGTTCGTCTGTGGGGCAGCCCACAGCTGCCCCCACCCGAAGCCCCAGGAAATCTGGCAGGGGGTGCAATGGGGGGGGCAGGTGGATGCAAGGGGGCGGGTGCAGCCCCCAGGTCTGCCCCAGGAAGGTGGCACACGAGCCGAGCAATACCTCCCAGAGGCCCCCCTGATCCGGGCAAGAGAAGGTCGCCACACATGCCAGAGGCCCTTCCCGAAACCTGCAGGGATATGCAGAGAGGGCGCGGATTGGTCCCTTTGGAAAACGGGGTGGGGTGTGGATGCTCTTGGCGGCTGCCCCCTGCCCCCTAGGCCCTGTGGAGATTTGGCCACACCTCACGGAAACCAACCAGGCACGGACATTCGTTGCCCACCCCTCAGCAGGACACCCTGCCAGACAGCAGTGGGGCACTCCAGCACCAGGAAGCTGGGGTGTGGATCGGTGCCCCGCTGCTGCCGCCTGGGGGACAGATAGGTGGAAACCAGGCCAGCCCCGGGCCCCGATGGCTGTTCATGCTCCGCCTTCACCGGGCATTCAGAGGGGCACGCACGCCCCTCCCGCTTCAGCTCCACAGCAGCTCAGCGAGGGTGGGTGGCCTGGGAAGGGAAGCTTTCCGAAACCCACAATGCAGGAAGAACCTATCCATGCCGAGCGGCAACGCTGGGAATCGCTCCCGGCACCGAAGGCGGCCTTGCAACGGAGGCGCGGCTGGCCTCACTCCTGGCTTCGGCTCCGAGGAGGGATCCGAGCGGAGGGTCCCTCGGGGCCGCCCTCACAGGAGTTCATGCCGGCACCATCGTGGGAAGGCGCCATGAGCCAGGATGACCCTGTACGGGGTGGACACGAAGCCCGCCTCCAGAGCTGCCGTTTCCTTCTGGGGGGAGTCTTTCCCGGAGCATCAGCTCATAGGGGGGCCGCCTCGAGCCTCACCTGGGGAGAACCAGGAGCGCCTGTCCGGAATCACGCCACGTCCCGCAACCACGGCCCCATCTTGCGCGGCGCCAGGACAGGATGAGATGCGGCTGTTCCAGGCAAGGGATGTCCAGCTCGTCCTCCAGAACATCCCAGGGCTCAAGTCCTCCCCAGAAGAGGAAGATCGTGCAAAGCAAACCCTGCCGCGCTTTGCACCCGGGATCAGGCCCGGCGCTCTACCCTTCTCGCCGGGCTACCCTCCGCCCCCTCCCCCACGAGCCCACCTTTTCTCCCGAGTCCGTCTCGCTGCCGGGTCCACCAGGTCGGGGCGTCCGCGGGGGTTCCCCTCGCCCCTCTCCTGCTCCTCAAGCGGGGAGCGCTCCCAAGAAAGAAGATCGTGTTGCGCAAGCCCTGCGGCGCGGCGCAGCCCGAGAGACAGGATCGGACCGGGGCGCTCTCCCCGCTGTGACGCCAAGCGGAAGGTGGGGACCCTCCCCTTTCCTTCCGCTCCACCAACACCCTTCCATGGGAGACCACGAAAAGCCGGATCCCGGATCTTGCACGTCCGGATGCGCGGCATTCCCCCTGGTTTTGCACGGGGAGGCCTCGCAAAGGCGCAAGGAAGCGCGGGGCTTCAAGAGAAATATTCGGGGAGCTTCTGACGGGGAAGGGACCCACCGGGCCTGGGAGCCCAAACGCGCCCCGATACCAGTCCGAAGAGGATGGGAAAGGCCACGCCTCCTCCATGGACGTGTCCCCCCACCCCCGGAAAGTCCTCCGGATGGGGGGGCGTCACGAGGCCTGTGCCCGCCCTACCCGAAGGGCGCAGCTCTGGCCAGGCACTCCCGCCGCGGCCCACGCAGGATCGCAGGCAGGAGGCGCTGGAGGGAGAGCGCAATCACCGATGGGGGGGGGGCGTGTTGGGTGGTAGCGCCGGGGACTGGTGGCGGGAACGGGCCAGCGCAACCCCCGCGCAGGGAGAGCGAAAGAGGCGGCAGCTGCCCTGGGCATGGAAAAGCGCTGGGGAAAATGGGTCCGGGGGAGACGAGGGGGTCAGCGGGGAGAGTTGGAGCGGCGGGGATGACAGATGTCGTGCTGCTGGCCTTGCTCAAGAGGAGCAAGGGTGTAGAGGAGGGGTCCTTGGAGGTTAGAGCACCCCACTTCTTTTGGAGGGGTCCTCAAGCTGGCAGAGACTCGGTTTATAATTTGCGAGGAAATACACATCCCGTCCGTGGGAAAGATCCACCGTGTCAACCTCTGCTGCTTGATGGATCGGGGCCCCAGTACCGGCACTCGCAAAGGATAATCTGCAGCCAGCTTATGGTGAGGCTGGTGTAGCAACTCCCAGCAGCCACCCACACAAGCTGTTTTGAGGGGGAATTCGGGGCTTTTGTGCTTTTTGAGCTGTTGCATCCCAGTGTTTTTACCTAAGCAGCCCAGTTCTGCATTTATCCTAAAGCCAAGCGTGGTTACAAGCAACCCTGTAACTGCTGATGCCAGCTCCTTGAACTTAACCTCGGAGCCAAACTGTCTAGCCAGTCCTGGAATTGTGAGGGTGTCACACCGAAATCCGCAATTAAGGCTCAAATGATCAGTTTCTTCCGAGGGCAATTAGGATTATTTACAATGGAACACGTGGATCCACGGGTGCCCAAGGCAGGAACACCCGATGCTGATTCCATTAGGGTTACACAGAATACACAAAAGGGGAGTGAATTCAATACCCAGGAAGGTGATTGGATACTTTGATATGGATAGGAAAGTGATTGGATACACGTCACAGCACCATAAAGAAAAGTTACATTTCACTCTAATTAGATGCCTTTGACTGGCCTTCTAAACTAGTTACCTTGAACAGGCTGGCCAAGTTAAGTAAACAAAAAGGTTACATAGCTGAACTTACAGGGTTAGGGAGGCACTTTAGCAAGCCTATAAATCACAGAGATTACACTTTGACAGTTACCCACTAATGGAGTGGGGTCATCCGGTCTTCACCACCAGACACTGAAGTGTCTTCCAAGGCCAGACTGTGTATTGATGTATTTACAGCAGGGCAGAGGGGTCGGATGGCCAAATCAGTTTTTCTGAGTACAAGGGGAAGCTGCTCCTAAGGCCTAACGCCCCAAAAGTCTTGTGGCCACTATGTTGAAAAAATTCAGAATGGTAGCCAACTGAAACTTCCTTGGGCAGCCACACAAAATCTGTACAAAATGTGTTATGATATCAGGGGTGTCAGTCAAAGAGTCCTAAATGTCACATAATTTGATGTATGAATGTGATGAAGTAATGCTTTTGTTGGTATGTAAGCCATCCTGAGACCATGCAAAGGATGGGATACAAATGTTATAAATAAATAAAAAGTAAAATATATCACCAGGTAGAGACAAACTCAAGTGCTAGTTTTCAGAGTGTGTACTGAGTATTTTATGATCTCCTGGAAAGTGAAGAGGACTAAAGAGCCTCTTGATGCAGGTGAAGAGGGACAGCACAAAAGTTGGCTTGAAACTCAACATTAAGAAAACTAAGATCCTGGCATCTGGTCCTATCACTTCCGGGCAAATAGATGGGGAAGAAATGGAGGTAGTGACAGATTTTATTTTCCTGGGCTCCAAGATCACCGCAGACGGGGACTGCAGTCAAGAAATTAAAAGACACTTGCTCCTGGGGAGGAAAGCTATGGCAAATCGAGACAGCATTCTAAAAAGCAGAGACATCACCCTGCTAACAAAAGTGTGTATAGTCCAGGCTATGGTTTTCCCAGTTGCAATGTATGGCTGTGAAAGTTGGGCCTGGACTTTGGAGAGCTCTGACTGCCTCATCTCTGGTTAGACTCCTTCATGCGTGATGCATCCGGTGAGAGCGGGTTAAAAGGTGATTGGACATTTTCAGAAACTGGACTCTGCACTTATGGAGGACCTCCAGACAAACAGATGCACACAGGAAAGCCCCAGAAATTAAAAGAAACCAAGCAATGATGTGTTCACATAGTGAGCCTGTGATTCTACAAAAGCCACGCTGGAAGCAGAGCAGGGGAGAAACATCATAAAAAACCCACTCTTCCCCGGTAAAAGACAGACTCTGAGCACGTGCAGAGCTGCCGCCCATCTCCT